ATATATAGATAGATAGATAGGTAGGCTAGATAGGATAGGTAGGATATCGTACTAATATATATAATTATATATCTAGGAGAAGAGAGAGAGGACGAGAATCGATCGATGGAGAGAGAGAGAAGCAGAGCAGACTAGGTACGTAAGCTACGATCAAGTCAGTAGCCGATATAGTCAGATAGAATAAATTAATATGATAGATTATAGATTAGGATCTAGTAGCATAGCATTAGAGTAGATAGATAGGTACAGCTGCGATGCGATGGATGGACTGGCGGACGGACGACGGACGGACGGCCGGCGTTACGGCACGGCGAAGGCGAACGGACGCCGACACGGTCACGGACGGACGGAAAGGGACAGACGCGACGGACGGTACGCACGGTACGAACGCGACGGCATAGATGAGCGAGGAGACCAGAGAGAGAGGAGAAGCTAGAGAGAGACACGACGAGAGATGGAGTGAGAGAGAGAGACGATAGCAGAGAGAGAGGAGAGGACGAGAGCAGAGGAGAGAGAAGAGAATAGATGAGGTAGATTACGAATAGATAGATAGATAGATAGATAAGATAGCAATAGATAGAACGGCTACCAGTACTAGATGACAGATAGATAGCTAGATAGATAGATAGCAATAGCATAGTATAGATAGAGTTTAGATAAATAGATAGACTAGAAGTAGATAGCATAGATAGATAGATAGATCAGATAGCAATAGCATAGATAGATACGATAGATAGGAAGAGTTAGATGGAGACCCTAGATAGATAGATAGATAGATAGATAAGTAGGGTAGCATAGGATAGCGTAGATATATATTATATATATTAACTTATATATATACTATATATATATGATGAGACGAGAGAGAAGGAGAAGGAGACGATGAGAGAACTGAGAGGACGAGAGAGACAGCAGAGAGAGCATACGGTAGATAGCCTAAGTTAAAGTAGCCTTAGCATAAGTAGATAGATCAGATAGATAGATAGATAAGATAAATAGATAGGACATATAGACAGACAGATGATAGGATAGATAGATAGATAGATAACATAGATAAGATAGATAGATAGATAGATAGTAGATAGATAGATAGACATAGATAGCATAGAATAGATAGATAGATAGCAGAGCAATGGATGACTTGACGGACGGAACGGACGGTGACGGCGGACGGGACGGACGGACGGCGGACCAGATAGAGCAGAGAGACGATGAGGAGAGAGAGCGAGACGAGAGAGAGAGATACATAGCGAGCAGAGCAGAGAGAGATACGATAGATAGTATAGATAGATAGCATACCGCATAGAATAGATAGATTAGATAGATAGTAGATAGACAGGACAGAATACGATAAACAGGATAGATAGATAGATAGAACTAGATAGCCATAGATAGATAGTAGTATAGTAGTATAGCATAGATAGATATGATAGAATAGCATAGAGAGTAGATAAATAGATAGATAGATAGCTATATTATCCTTTCCTTATTATTTATTCTTTTTTATAGCAAAGTTGCAGTCACCATGAGAAGCTTTATTTACGGACAACGCCGCGGCTATCCTACTGAGTTACCTGCAAGGCGTCTATGTCCCGCGGAGTACTGCCGGAACGTACCTCCGGTACTATCTATATGCCGGCACCGCCCCCCATACTTTCGCGCTACACACTCAACAGCTCTAGGAGTCGCCTCGCCTACTCCCTTAACCGTAACACATAACCCTAATACCTAAATTCTACCTAACATATCATAGCTGAGGCGGCGCGCACGTTCCAGAACACGGCGCGCCGCACGCACCACTTAACCCCACACCCCCGCGGCCCCCCACCCGTGATATCTATCTATCTATCTATCTATCTAACCTATCGAAAATAGCCTTGCACAGTCTGTATCAAGTCAGTGCAAGATGAATGTAACATAATGCATGCATACTAGCGCAATGTAGGCCTCACGCGCATTGCACAGTAATGCGACTCAGTGCAAAGTGAATCCCGTTTATTTAATGCTGCTGCAGGGGCGCGTTTATTTAATGCTGCTGCAGTGGTCAGTATATGTTTCCGTTTTTCTCCGTTTTTTGGCGTATATAACCTCGGAGGTCAAATCCAATGTGCCCATGACATTCAGCACCAAAATTTACCCCTACTGAACATCTTTGACATTTCTAAAGTGCTCCGTATTGATTTGCATCAAGAACAGACAAACAGACACACATTCACAAATAGGTATTAGAATAACAAAAAATGCTCTTTACGGTTTCAAAAAGTAAAGCATATGCAAGGCAACCGTAATTGAGCGGAATATTTGATTTTGTTCTATTTTTGTTTAAACTTTGTTTTAATAGTTACGTTTCTACAATCGTGGAGGAGAAGGTAGCTGCCCCTTTGCCCCACACCCCAGCGGCGATGGGACATGCACCTTACACGCCTTATATTTAACGAGACCACGAGAAGCGCATGCCACATAAATAATATGACAATCGCTTGCGAATTCACTAACTATAGAGCGTCCGAACTTGTTCAGGTATCACCATATATGTAGACCATCAAGGAGAATGTCAGCTGACAACTACTCCTGAGCCTTGCACTTGTCCGCGCCATATCCGCAAAGTGTGCGGTACTGATGGAAACACATACCAGAACCAATGCCTCCTGCAGTGTGCTGCTAGAGACCAAGGTAAGAAAATTCCGACTACCTGATGTATCATTCTACCTAATCCCGCAATACGTATCCAAAATACATAATCCACAAGTGATATGCAAGCGAGCCACCACCATATACATCCAAACCATAACTAAACGCCATAAACTCTCTCCATATACATAAATTACCGCTATACCATCGGCCATTCTACACACTTACATACGGGTAAAGCACACCACCCTCCCGGTACAGTGACACCTAAACTCTAGCTATGCCACCAGCCACCATATACACCCGAAAGCCACAATGCACTAACTACCAAACCACTAACTAATAAACAACCACTATTCCATAGTATCTTAAGTATACTGACCATTGTCGAAGAAATTACACCCACTACATGCTCCCAATGAATACGGGTCTATCGTCAAACATACAGTCTTTCTACATTGTAGTTCTTATGTTTGTTTAGGAACGACCATATACGTAGATCATCAAGGAGAGTGTCAGG